AAAAAAAAAAAAAAAGCCACGAACAAATAAGACCTAGATTACAATTAAGCACCATTGCGCAGTAACATTACTTTCTCAAGCCAAGATCAAGATTCGACACGTTACATCTCAAATATTCTTCAAAAAATTATACAAGAAGGGGCTCCTAAAAATGGGAAAACAGTGGAATTTGACTTCAATAATCAACAATATTCAGCGAAAAATGAATAAGAAGGAGCTGTGCTATTTACGAAGTTTTATATCATACCAATTGGAAGTCATTTCCGCAGGCCTTGGGTTCACCGGCGGGAGCAGCTCGCGAGACATCGTCAGCGGCTGCGATCGATGATAGGATAAACAAAAAAGTCCCCAATTGGAAGAAGAAAACCAACGCGAAGGACAATCGAAATGCTGAAGCATCAGCCATACCCAAAAATTTGGTCTATTCGCTATACAATCGGCCGAAACTAAGATGTGTGTTCTTCGGAGGCACTTTTATAAATTATTTGATAACCATTTGAGAGGAATGAATTTGAGAAATTTGGACGACTTGTGAGAGAGAGAACGTTTGGGTAGAGAAAGCGAGGGCATAAGGTATCTGTATTCGCTTTTTTTTTTTTTTTTTTTTTTTTTTTTTTTTTTGTATTATTTATTTATGATATGATGTACACTCTGTTTGTTTATAATTCAAAAATCAAAATATAAATTTAACTTTAACTCAAGTACTCAACTTCATTATATTTTATATTAGCACATCAATATTATAATTTCATGTATTAAAGCAGTCAATGGATATTAAATAATGTAAAAATAGCTTTTAATATTCATAATTATTTTTTCTTATACATTATGATATATAGTAATTTAATATATAACTCATATGTTTATTTTTACTCATTTTAAAATGTTTGTTATTTTAGATTATGTTTATAATTAAAGATAATAAAAATATAATCTATCTATAGTAATATAAAGAGGTTGTTGGAAAAATACAAAAATAGTAACTTTGACTTAAAAAATTAAGTGTTGACTTACTATTAGTGAAAATTTTGAAAAAACACATGTGAATCTTTAGAAATCAAATTTAAGGGAGATATCCCAAAAAAATTGGAGATTCTTAAGGTAACAAATTTTGAGATTCTTATGCCAAAATTTAATTCATTTCATAAATACGAATCTCATTTTTATTGGTAACAAATTTGGAGATTTTTATTCCAAAAATTTGAGATTTTGAATTGAGATATTCCAACAATTACGGATTTTTATTCCATTCAAATTAATGATGCAAAGCAAACAAAAAATTGTTCCAAGAATAATGGATGTTATACTAAATATTAATAAATTCCAATCCTCCATAAATTATTTATATTTATAGTTTTTTGTGTAAATATATTGATTTTTTTCTAAAATAATAATAAATTATATTATTTTATACTTAAATCCTGACATCTTTTCTATTTTTTGGTAGTTTATATTCTTTAATTGAAATAATATATGAACTATTTGATTGAAACACCTTATTTTCTTTAAGAATTAAATTTAATGAGATATCCCACAAAACTTGGAGATTATTAAGGTAACAAATTTGGAGATTCATATGCCAAATTTTAATTCATTTTATCACTACGAATCCCATTTTTATTGGTAACAAATTTGGATATTCTTATGCCAAAAAATTGAGATTTTGAATTGAGATATTCAAACAATTACAATTTTTTTTTCCATTCAAATTACTATTTCAAATCTAACAAAAGAATTTGTTCCAAAAATAATGGATGTTATATTAAATATTGATAAACTCCAATCCTTCATAAATTATTTATGTTTATGAATTTTCGGATGTAAATATATTGATTTGCTTTTCTTCATAATAATAAATTACATTATTTTAGGGCCTCAATCCTAACTTATTTTCTATTTTTGGCAACTTAATTTCTTTAGGAAACAAATTATTGTGAGATATCCCAAAAAATTAGAGATTCTTAAGGTAACAAATTTGGAGATTTTTATGCCAAAATTATAATTCATTTCATAAATACGAATCCTATTTTTTATTAAAGTTGTTAATATATATATTTTGTATTAT